CTCCAGACATATCTGTTTATGGACCCCAGGTCACAGTCTGCTGAGATCTGTGTTATAGCCTTACATGCTGGTAATGAGAATTTTAAATTCTTCCCTGACTTGAATGCTGAGATCAGAGAGTGATGGGGAGACAGTGCCTGGATTCTTTCCAGCTGTTTGATTCCAGAGGTGTGGACTTCATGGGGCCAGCTAGACCTCATGCAAACAGGCGGTGCACTGTATGGCTGCAGGCTCCCTTCCCAGGCCTGCGAGTGTGCAGAATGACCTCTGACTCACAGGAAAAAGGAGGGATTAGCAACCGTGCACGTAGAAGGCCAGCAACATTGAAGCTCAGCCCACAGCTGCACTGGTTGGTAGCTGCCCTACTGTTCTCAGAGGTCAAAAAGAGGCACAGGGAGCTGAGGCCAAGACCATAGGTCTACACCAGGTCTGCACCAAACTCGGGGTCTACCTGGACCAGGCAGATAATGCAAATGATGGGAATCAGGCCCCAGGAGGACTGGGGTGCACAGAAGAGCACTAGCTCCGCACCAAGAGCTGCCGACCCCAGCCCCAGCCCCCACCCCTGCTGCCCAGGCCTCTAGTCTGTCCAGAGAAGCAGGAAGCCCAGAGCTTTACAGGACCTGATATTTTAAATATGCCAACTCATTCGAACTTTTTTTGTATGGTGCCGGGGATGAACCTAGGGCCTCATGCATGCTAGGCAAGTGCTCTACCACCAAGCTACACCCCAGACCCTTGTTCAAATTTTAATTTTTTTTTCTTTTTTTTAGTTACTGCACTGGCCAAAGAAACACTGCTGTTGACATGAACGGCCCCAGCCCTGACCACAGGTCATGTGGCTTCCATTTTCCAGATAATTGCTTAGGCCTCTGCTTCCTCGTAGCAAGAGGCTCATGGGTTGAAATGCACCCCTACCAAATTGCTGTGGATTGGGAACCAAAGGGGCTAACTGGAAAGGAAGTAATTGCACAATTCCAATTCCGGTTTGAGTCTCGTCAGGCACGGAGAGGCGGAGGGGGTGGGAGGTGGCGGTAAAGATGGGCACCCTCCCCGACATTCATCTCACGGCAGGAGGATCTTATGGGGGGCCGGGGCTGGCGGGGGCCGGCGCCTGACTCCCCGTGTGGTCCGGGCTCTCTGCCGCTCCGCGTCCCCAGCTCAGAGTGAATTTGGTGCATCGAGTCAGACTTTAACGCACCGTAGTCGTCAGTAAACAGTGCTCATTTGTTTCTTTATTTATTTATTGGACCAGATCGGCCTGGCAATTCCTCGGCAGTCTAGTGTAATCAGATTTGGTTTTTAACATGCTTTTAAAGTAAAGGAATAAATACAACTGAGCCTTGTAAAAGGGGGTCGTTAGAGAAGGGGCCTCGGCCCGTAACTCTGAAGTAATAGCCCCATTATGGAGACGGGAGGCCAGTTTCAGCTGCCCCTGTGCCTTTCCGTGGGGAGGTTGAGGGTTTGCCAGACAGGTTGGGCGTCTCAGTAAAAGCTTTTCCGGCAGCCATTTAACCTCCATTTACGGAGAAATAAAGCAAAATTGATGCTGATTCGGGCCTGCTTGGGGGGATATTTCCCTTCCATAAAAGCCCTTGTGCCTGCAATTTGCCGAGCTGCCCTGTCACACGGGGAAAGGCTGCTGTTGATAAAGATAAAGCTTTATGGCCACCATGTTTGCTGCTAACAGCAACCTAATGTAGCATTTTCATTTCTGTGCAATTAATGTTAATGTCTGCTACGAAAATTGTCATTAAATACCATTTTAAAATCCATTCAATTTGCATATGCAAAGCCCATTTACCATCACAGAAGATGTAGCGGGCACTTCATCACGTCCTTGCCCTGGAATTGTGGCCACTTGGCTTTATAGCAATTTAAGATTTTATATTGAAAGCTGGATGATAATGGGGGTCCTCTCCAGGCCCAGCCGACTGGAGCAATGACAAAGGGAAACCGAAGCCCAGGAGGAGCCGCTGGGCGTTTGCAGAGATCTTCAAATGAACTAGAGGCAGGGCCCAGAGGAGAGAGCGCTGGACAGGGTGTCCAGCAGCCTGGACCCTGACGGCTCAGCTAACACCCTGCTGTGCGACCTCAGGAGGCCCCCCTGGCTCTCAACTTTCCTCTGCTGAGGGCTCCCGGCCAGTGATCCTGATGTCCCCGAGCTCTACTTTTAAACGTTTTAGAAATATAAGTGCGATGAGCGGGCGTGCCCTGGAGCCACTGACTTGGGGATCACCTCCAGGGTGGGGAAGGACAATGACAACAGCCCATCCAGCCCAGAAGTGACTTTCCATGTCCCCAACGTCACATTCCAAGTTCTAAGGGCACGTTTTCTGGTGAGGGCTGAGCTGCACACGGAGGCCACGGGCGAAGGAAGAGCTGGCAAAGCCAGGGTGTGGACTGACCCTGAGGGACCAGAGGGCCTCCACCTGCCTGGAACGCAGCAGGCCTGTTCTTAGAACTGGCCCAGAGTCACCCAGTGGCCCAGCAGGGTGACTGTTCAAGATCCCAGAACAGGTGTCTGCACACCCCGTCCACAGCAGCACTAGGCACCACCAGAGGAGGTGGGGACGGCACTCAGCCAAGACAGGTGGACGAAGACAGCAGAGCAGACCCGGCGCCCACGGAGCTGGAGAGGACAGCAGAGCAGACAGGCGCCGCGGTGTGACCCATCCACAGGAGGGACCTCGAATCCTCCAGTTCCCGGAAACAGGAAGTGGAGCGCAAGGAGGGGGCGGGGCGTCACTGTTGAGTGGTGCAGAAGGTTCTGGGGACAGCCAGGGCGCAGGGCTGCAGGGCAGGCGAGTGTGCGGAGTCCTCCTGCACCGCGCAGGAAACGGCTAAAGGGGCGGCTCCTCCAGATAATTCTACCTCCGTAAAAATGGAACAAAACAAACAGAACGTGGAGATGCCACCAAAAGAGAGACAGTCGTCCCGGGAAGCCAGGAAGGGAGGCTGGAAGGCGGCTGGGGTTGGAGAGTCGGTGGCCTCGGGTGGCAGAGCAGGGCCGCCCACAGGTGGGCTGGGACGTTGGCCCTGGGGCCCACCAGCTGGACCGGCCGGGGCAGCGGAGCCTCGGCCAGCTGCTGCGGTGGGGAGCAGGCTTTTCTACTTCTCTGTCCAGAGCGGTGCTAGGATGCCAGTGACCTTTGTAGATTCCTGTCGTGATAGAGAAGGGGCTGGCGAGCCCCTCTGAGTGAACCGCTGCTTCAGCGGCCCAGCGAGCTCCCCACTTTGGGAACAGAAGGCAGTCTACACCGTTTCCACCACCGGCCCAAGTGCACCATGTGGACTCCTCTGTCGGCCTCCAGGGAGGGCAGTGATCAGGCCTGGCCCACCAGGGCATCCGATTTCCCTGGCCTCAGCCATTGGCTCAAGGCTGACATGTGACCCAGGCTGGCTAGCCACAGCCAGCAGTCAGTTCAAGGACAGGCCTGTGACCTACTGGACCGAAAAGTGTTGGTCATCAGCCTTGTATAGTTCCCTAGACCCTCCCCACTAAGAGAATAAGATGTAAAATGGAATAGCCACTGCCCACTTTGTCAGGCAAGGAAGAAGCCCTCAGGGAACGGACCAAGCCCTGGACCACAGCCATGACTTGGAGAGACAGGCCATCTGCTGATGACATCACCCGACTGCCTGGATCCAGCTATACCTGAAGCTCTGTCCTATCCCAGGCCTTTCGATCTCATGAGCCAATACATTCCCTGAACAATAGTCAAGGCAGTTCAAGTTGAGTTTTGATCACATACGACCACTTTCTACTTTTACAGCATGTCATGGGAAGTGAGCCACCTGTCTACCTCTGAGGCCACCACTGTGACCAGGGCTTGAAAGTACATGGACTGGCCAGGCCTGGGTCACACCAATCACTGGGTCAGGGGAACCTGATGCCCTGATAGGCCAGGCCTGATCACATGCCCCTCCCTGAACTCAAGGCGACATGGGTTCCCACGATGTGGGATGTGGAGGCGGGTTCCCTGTGCAGACAGAGGAGTCTGGTGCCAGGCAGGCCAAATCAGCAAATAGGGCAAAGTCCCCAGCCGTTGCCCTCCTCTGCCTGGGGAGTGGCGCAGCTCAGGCTGTGCACCAGAGGGTGACTGGACAGTGTGCGAGGTGACCGGGGAGGGGCTGTTCTGCCAGGAGGGCAGGCGGGTAAGAACGGGAGGGCACAGGGCTCTCCAACCCCTTGCTGTTGTTACCATCTCCCTGCCCGTTTCCGTGTGGACAGTGGGTCCTCAGGCACTAAGCAACCAGCCTAAGGCCCAGGCTGGTCGAGTCTCTGCTGCAAAGCTCAGAGCGTTGACGTTAGCGGGGACACGCGCCTGATCTATGGTGACCACAGGGCCTGAGAGCAGCGCTTTCCCAGACGATTCTCCACTCCGAGTGGCTGGTGCTGAGCATTTCCATCCATAAAACGCACGGAGCCGAGCCCTGGGCGATTCGTGCCCTTTTCTATGTGTAAGTCAGACTTCAATTCGATTTTTAAGAACATCATGACTCCCAGGTCTGCAGTCGCCATTTTAACCATGACAGTAGCTGACGTCTGTGGAGTGCTCACCAAGTCCTGGCACTGAGCTGAGGTGAGGGCAGAGAGCTTTACGCCCCCAAAGCCCCGTAGCAACACCAGGCACCTACTGTTGTCCTCCTGTCCTACAGGTGTGGGACAGGGAGGACAGGTGCCCGTGGCTAGTCACAGGCAGATTCCTGGCTTGAGCCAGTGCCTGGCCCCCTGGGCTGTGCTGGGGTACAGGGCGCCGGCCTGCTCCTGCCCTCCCTCACGTCACCACCCCTGGGGCAGAGAAAGGTCTTGACGCACACCTGTGTCTGGGCGGCGGTGGGTGGCCTGTGCACAGCCCGTCAGCACAGCCCCCTGTGAGGCCCCTGGAGTCGGGGAGCCGGGCTTTGGAGAGAGGAAGAGCCTGAGAACCACGTTTGCTCCCTGCCTGGCCAGCCCCCACCTTGCCCTCCCATCCGCCACCGGCCAGCCTCCGTACCGTGCCTGGATGCCATAGGTCATGTCTGGGGGCAGGGAGGGTGCGTCCTTCTTGGTCCGCCGGTCGTCCTTGTCGCTGATGCGGATGTCCTTGAGCTGCCGGTACAGGATGTTCTCCCGGGCGGTCACCAGGCCAGCCTTCACTGCCCCGCGGTTCAGGGCGATATAGTTCCGGGTTAGCTCTTGGGGGCAGGTGGGCTGCTGCTTAAACACGTCCCAGTGCCCTAAGGCTGAAGGGGGACAGAACACAGGGCAGTGGTCAGCTGGGGTAAGTCACTCAGGGCCCAGGACTGAGAGGAGACAGGCCCCTGTCCCAGCAAACCTGCTGGGTGACAGCCCCAAAGGGCAGGAGCGGCATCCCCAGGGATTCCAGAGGGCGCCTGGCGTCCTGAGGAGGTGGCTCTCCTGCTCCTGGACCTCGGCTGGGCCCTCAAGACGTCCGTCACTGCCTGAGCAGCTCAGAGCAAGGCAGCCTTCCCTGGGCCCTCGTTCCTGCCCTGGCTCAGACCTGGACCCTGCTGGGTCCACTCCGTCTCGGCCACACTTGTCTTCCCAGGCTTGTGTCCCCGCCTGAATTGTCCTTCAGAGGAGGCCCCTCGGGTCTTCTCTGGCCCCTGGCCAGCTGCCAGGCGGCCAGCCTGGGTGGAGAGTCCAGGGAGGGGGTGGGCCTCCCGCTACTCCCCAGGCCCCGGTGCTCCAGGCACAGCCCCTCACCTTCGGGGACCCCTCCGTCCAGCCCCCGGATGTAGAGTCCGTAATTGAAGTCAATGCCAGGCAGGCTGCAGCTTCTCTCCCGGGGCCTGCCGAGTTCAGCCTGTGGGAGAGAGAGCAGCGTGAGGGGCGGAGGCGGCCAGCCCTGTGCCCAGCCTCCAGGGCCCCGAGGTGGGCCGCCCAGGCCTCCCGAGAGGAGCCAAGCTGGGGCTGGGGATGCGGGCACCACACTGCACGGCCTGCTGGTGCCGAGAGCCGGGCAGCAGGGACGCAGCCCATCCCCGGGCGGGGAAGGAGGGCGTCACGGGAGGCCAGAGCTGGGCAAGCAGCCGTGCCGGGCGGAGCCTGGGCCTACCCCACTGTGTCTGGAGACCCGGGACCTGGGTCAAGGGGACCGGCTGGAGGCCACCAGGGGAGGGCGTCCTTCCTAGCTAACACTTCCTTCCTGCCGGGGCGGCTCAAGCCATTGTCGTGTCCCACAGGGCTGGGGACACAGTGACAGCGCCCACTGCGACCCCCTTGGCACCTGGGCAGCTCTTTCTACCCTCTGGGTCTCTGGAAAGCGCCTCCTTGACCCCCAGAAGGGGTTGGTACGGAGGAGGTTGGTGCAACTTCAACCACATTGGTTTCCCCGTTGTACAGACAAGGAACAGACCCAGAGGGCAGGGCCTTTGCCCACCCAGGATGCCTTTAGGGCAGCGGCTCCCCAGGTCAGAGCCCTGCCCAGGCCCTGAGCATCGGCCTTGGTCATCCCTGGGCCCCAGACACCGAGCTGTGCCGGTCCCTCCTACGCCTTCCCCGGGTGCCGCTCGTTTCCTCCCCACTCACTATATGACAGGGACCCTGAGGTCACATCAGGCCGGGCAGCGGATGTGGTGAGCGGGGCTGGAACCCGGCTGTCTTCCACTCAGATCCACGGGCTGATCAATACCAGCCCCAGGTTCACACGGCTCCCTGGTGCCATCGGCCTATGGACAAAGGGTGGGGGCAGCAGCAGCCCCGCTGCCCCAGGCCCACAGGCCGAGGACTGGCAGTCCTGGGTGTGGTCTCCCAGCACCTCCCGGCTCCAGCGCACCTGGAGGTCCAGAGGGTGTGGCCGGCTTGGCCTCGCACTACCCCCGGCACCTCATCTGTGCAGGTAGGTGCGTGGAGGGGGACACTGGTTGGGGACCTCGGCCAAGGGCCATGGATACCTTTGGAATGAACCCCCTCCCTCGGGCTGGCCGCCCAGGCCCTGCCAGATGAGCCCACTGCCCGACATCCGGAGACCCCGGAGCCCAGCAGTCGATGCCTCCACCCGGCTTCCTGGAATGCGCTGGCTCTGCCCACCCCCTCCGCAGGCCCTGCCTCTGCCCAGGACTCCCTGACCCCACCCACGCTCAGCTCAGCGCTCAGGGATTCTGTCCTGTGTGACTGCGACTGAGACATCGAGTGACTGTGTCCGTTCCCATGAGTGCACCTGCCGGGCCTCCGCACTTGGGCCCTAAATGCCCACACAGCCCGAGCCACGGCTTCCACTGCCGTCTTTTTCCTGGTGGCACACGGCAGAGCCCTCTCTACTTTCCGTGGTGACGACTGCAGTGTCCGAGGGTCGTGGCAGCGTGAGGTGGGGAGGACACACACGGGGCGCAGCCTGTGTGGCTCCAGGTATGTGAGGTGCCCTAGAGGCAAAGCCACAGAGGCAGAGGGAGGTTCGCTGGTGGAGGCTGGGGAGGCCAGGAGGGCAGGCGGGAGAACTGGGTGAGGGGCCAGCGGGCGGAGATGGCCGAAGGCTGTTTTGTGGGGGACATGAGAATGCTCCTAAGTTGTGGTGGCGGAAGCACAGCTCTGAAGGTGCCGAGAGCCGTGACTTGTCCACTCTGAATGGTGAGCGCGTGGCCTGTGAGTTCCGCCTCGAATGAGGCCCCGGAAAACCACAGAGCAGCGTCCTGCCCAGAGAGCAGCGTCGTGTCCGTCTCCCGGAGGAGAGTGTCCCAGGGCAGGGGCCAGTCCTTAGTTATTTGTTAAAGTTAACTTAAACTTTGTGTATTTTATATTTTAGAGCAGGTTAATTTAATTCACAGCAAAATTAAGCGGAAGGTACAGAGACTTCAAATACACCCCGTCTGGCTTCCCCAGGGCCCCGCACCGAGGGGATGCTTATCCACGGCGGCACGACGGCCGAGGGCTGGGCCGGTGGCGGGTGGGAGAAACGTCTGCCATAGTCCCGGCCGAGGCAGAGCAGCCTCATCTGTTCCTGAGGGCTCTGCGGGCTGGAAGTCCAAGGTCTGGCCTCTGGAGGAGGCCTGCTTCCCAGTGATCAGGTGGCGCCTTCTTGTGCATTCTCCTGGAGCCGAGGGAGCGAGCCCGTCCCCTTCCTACGAGGACCATGGTCCACCGTCTGCAGTTCCTGGCCTGACCCCCTCCCTCCCCTCCCATGGGGCCTCGACCCCCAGGAGTGAGCCCTCCCCTCCTCCTCCTCAATCCCAGGCCCAGCCTTTCTGGGGTCCGAGTTCTGAGTCAGGGGGCGCAGGGACTTTGTTTTGAGTTCCTTCCGCTGGCCTCACCCCTCGGGCTGCAAACAAAGCTCTGGCCTCTTATTTGTTTACGAAAATGATCCAGCCTCTCCAGCGACGGCTGGGGAAGTTAATTAAAATGCGACTTCTCCAGGAGAGGCCCCGCCTCCCCGGGGCAGGTGCAGGTGGGCAGACTTCCAGCTGGCAGAGGACCGACAGACTCCGGAGCTGGCTGCCACCCTCCAGTGGGTGGGGGCTGGGGAACAGGAGGCGCCGCCATCTTTGTGCTTTTTAGCACGGTTGCCTGGGCTCAACAACTGTGGAAGGCTTAGGCTGCAAAAAACATCCCAACCAAAGTTTGCTCTTGCAGTCTTCCCACAAATGTTTTTTTTTTTAACCTCTTGTGAACCAGGCCCTGTGCTGAGAGTTCCAAGGTGAACAGAACAGATGCACAGCCCCTGCTGTTAACGAAACCCACTGCCTTGCAGGAAGGACAAGTAATGGCAGTCGAGTGCACCAGCAGGTGTAGTTGAGGAAAGCACAGAGTGTCCCCTCCACATGTTAAAAATCTCAGTGTACAAAAAGTGAGAGAAGACATCTGCAATCTATGTACCCAACAAAAGACTTGTATCTGTCACAAATAAAGAGCAACTACCAATCAACAAGAAAAGGGTAAACTCTCCTACAGAAAAATGAGCAAGACTTGAATAGGCACGTCATTCAAAGGATGCCCAAGTGGCCAAGACCCATATGTCAAGGTGCTCAACTTCTGGGAAACACAAAGTAAAAAGGTCAATGCTGCTGGTGAGGATTTGGAGCAATCAAGAACACTTGTGATCTTGCCGGGACTGTCAACTGTCACAACCACCGAGGAAAATTGCTAGTGTATCCATTGAAGCTACACACGTCTGTCCTATAGTCCAACACTGCCCTCCTGGGCACCCAATAGAAACGAGCAACTGTGCCCAACCAACAAACACGTCCACGGTGAACAGCTGGACTGATGGCCAAGTGCTGGACACACCCAGAATGGCCCTCGCAGTGGAAGGTATCTGGTGTGCTCAGGCCACAGAAGGTCGTGCACTGGTGGTCCTGGGCCATGCCTGCATACTGTGAGTGTCCCAGCTTGAGAGGAGCCTGGCCTGTACCGAGTGTGTGGAGGCCAGGACTCTCTCAACGCCCTGTGCACCTGAGGGCCCTCCCATGACAGGCAGGCGTGGCCCAGTGCCCCGGAGGCTGGCGGAGGCCGAGGAACCCGGGAGTGAAGCCAGAGCCAGAGTCCTGCACGGGTCCTTGCTCAGCGTGGGAGGAAGGAGCCAGGACGCGCCCTCGCAGCCTCTGGTGTCTGGGGTCGGCAGGGGTCCCCGGGTAGGGGTAGAGACTGGGAGCTGCCAGGAGTCGGAGGGTGCAGGTCACCATGTTCCTCCACCCGGTGTCTTCACCCCAGGCCATCCTGCCCGTGGCCCTGTCCCCAGGCCACCCATCCGTGGCCTGGCCACGTGGTCCTTCCCCTCAGGTGTGTGGCCCGAGCAGCAGGCTCCCCGGTCCACACAGGAGACGCGGCTTCACGCAAGGGCTGCGGGGGAAAGAGAAGCGGGGACAGCCCCGGGTTCCACTGGGCCCTGTGCCGTGTCCCAGAGTCCCTGAGAACGCAAGGGGCCTTCCCGAGTCCTCAGACTGTCACCGTGGGACCAGCTGAAACTTCCGAGAACCAAGCTGAGAAGCAGAGGAGGCCATTCGGAGGCACCCCCGGTTCCTCAGCCTCCTGCCCTGGCAATGACCCGCTCCCTCCTCCGCGGGTCGCACCAAAGTGCCCACTGGCAGGAAACCCCAGCGGTCCCTGGCTGTCCCCGGCCCAGGCAGAGGACACCTGTGGGCCTCGTGGAGCTGTTGGAGTCCCTGTCACCTTCTCTCTTCCACCTGTCCCCAGACGCCTCCCACATCTGAAATCCCATGGGAGCTTTAGTCCCTGAGGAGTGCGTGTCTCCGTGTCCCTAGAGGAGCCGAGAGGCACAGCAGGTTCCCCACCCCAATCATCTGCCCAGCAAGGTGGCCCAACTGGACAGCCCCATGGGCCTCATGCTCCGAGGCAGTGCCACCCACCACTGCACCTGGGGGGTGGCGTCCCTGGCCAGGCCCACCCACTCCTGCCAGTGCTCACCACGATCCTGCCAAGGGGCGTCCTGCCGGCCCCATTTCCTGGGCGAGGAAATGGAGGCCAGAGAGCTCTCGGGCTTGTCTGTCCAAAGCTACGGAGTGCCCAAGGCAGGATTCGAACACATGCCACCCTCCTGCTCCTGGCTGCCCCATCAGTGAGCGACTGTTCAGCATCGACAGCATGGGACCATTCACTGACTCTCCTGGGCCCAGAGCCACTCCCTGCAAGGGGGGTTCTGCCCCCACAGGACGGCAGGGCTTGGACTTCTTGGCACGGTGGCTGCACACACCAGGAGCAGAGCAGACCCAGCAGCTCCCACGGAGACCCCAGGGGGCTGCTGCGATGGGCTGACGGGGCTGTGGGCGAGCTGCCAGTTCACAGGGCGTCCTGGCACACGCTTCCCGACCCGGGAGCTACGTCTTGGCTGGGCCTGGGAAGGTGGTCAGGAAA